GATCCCAGGTAGAACTCCCAATGCAGGGTCCCCATGGGCCCTAACTAAACAGGTAGAGATGGAGCATGGCTTCAATGACTTGTTTTCTGGACCCGTTCTCCTGTCTCCCTGCTCGGTTGCTCCATGATGCACCCATTGCTTTCTCTTGCTGGCTTACGGTCGTTTATTCCCAGAAAGAGGAATGAAAATCCTAATGTAGATTAGGTGTTTAAATGTACAAATCCCTAATATGGCTTAGTGTGTCACTCTTCCTGGGAATGCTTCCATTTTAACCGCAGACAAACAGCTCAGCCCTAAGGGAGTAAATCTGCCTGGGAAGTCAACAGTTGGCAGGCTCTTTCAGGATCTTGGAAGCGAGCCACGGGTCATCTGCCATTGGTAAGGCCAGAGCCACCCCAGTATGACTGACCTCCTAGGGTGCTTCTTGCCCCTAAAGAATCCTTAGGCAGCAAGAAGGCGAAGAAAGCAAAGGCAGCAATGCCATAGTGTTTCAGCAGCCCCAAGATCGCACATTTTCTATATGGCTTTGGGAACACATAGTATGGCCACAATGCCCAGAAACACCAAACACATTCACCAGTAAACTGCCATTACATCATTTATGCACACACCTGAGTCATTCCTAGCACACCAAAACAGACACACACAGGGTGCCAAGCAAGGACAGGGCCTTTTCAGAGATGGTGATTTAAAGAAAAAAAAAAAGTGAGTTTAGGAATAACTTTCCCAAAGGCTTTTGCCCAAACATTAATCTTTTCCTACATCTTGAACTAATAAGAAAGAAAAAAAGAAAGAAAGAAAGAAAGGACAAAAGAAACCCTAGCTCTCAAATGAGAGGTGCAGGTGACCAGCACTCTGCAGAGAATTCTTCCTGGGGCAATTCCTGGTGGCCATGGAAGACTGGGCAAGTGATATTCACGTCACTGTATAGAGGACTCCTATTTTACACATGCGTTTGGGCACTGCTGACACCACCAACATTTAATGGGATCATCTGGGATTTTTTGTCCCCAATCACAAAATGGCTGTGACCAGTCCCAAGGAATACACACGGAGGGTGCTTCCCAAGCTCTGGCTGAGGATAGACAGTGACATCTCAGGAATAACAAGGTCCACTGTACATGCGGCACTCTGAAAGCGGGTGCACATCTTCGCTCAGGCAAATTCAAGGATCAGATTGTTGAGGTCACTGGGCATGCTGAAGTGTCAGCATTGCCACTAGGAGGAGTGATGTGGGACCACATCCATCAACCCACGTTCACAATGGGAGAGAGCACTTGTGAGAGAAAGCATGGATTCTGAAGGACACCACGGAACACAAGATGCTCCTCGGGGCTCTGCAGAACCTCACAGTTTTGGATGGATTGGGTCTTGGTCCATATCCATCAGGGATGGAGATGGGAACAGCTGCTGAATTCTTCCTTATGTATCCAACTGACTTGCTACTGGGGAATTTCACATGGAAAACTTGACAGACTTCATTTCCTTATTCTTTTTAGAGCAGACCATGAATATCTTACTTTGGTCCCAATTCAAGAATCCAGTTGAAGAAATCAACTGAGGCCAAATAAGAGGTTTAGGACAGTTAAATTGTCTCACTGGCAGCCTCTGATGACGGGAAAATAGGGGGGAAGGGCAGTATGCTGGGCATATCAATTTAGAAATGAGAGAGGAAAAGAGAGAGAGAGAGAGAGGCTGCTATCTTTCACAAAGCCAACAACCCAGTGAAAGAGATTGTATTTGTCTGGTTAATATTGAATCAGATTTGCGACACCTAACTCGATCCAAATAGCACCCTCCTGATGGCAGTAACGAGAACAAGGCAACTATAAAGTTGCCATTGGTACTGTCCCTCACATGACCTCTTTCCCACCTCTGAAACTAATTTTAGCTATTACTTCACTGGGCTAATGAGTTTGGAGGGGATTGGGTGACGTTCCTAGAAAGGCATGTAAATCTGTAAGACCCCTGTATCCATTGCTGTCCTTGTACAGCCTGAAGCCATATGATGCTGAAAGAGGAGGAGTGGACATTTCTTGAGTGTGCCTGAAGTGGTCCTTTCTATAGGTGCACACAGATGGGGGATGGGATGGTCAGCTACTAGAACATGACATGTCAGACTGGCAGGATGATGGTTAAAAATCAGAGAAGGCTGCTGTGAGATTTCTCAGAATCCAGCTTCCAGAAACCTCTCAGTCACTCCAAGAATGGGAGGTAAGTAGACCTCATTTCTTTTTCAAGCCCTTTGGGGAACCTTTGCAAGCCCAGGGACTGACGAGGAAAAGCCGGATGCCACCAGTTTGGCTTTGACAGAGTCATAATTTCCTGGTCTCCCTAGAAGATAAAAGTCAGACCAAGTTTTGCTTAGTGCTGGTTTGGACCCTGCAAAACTCAGGCCAAAAGTGCACGATCACTTCTCACAAACCAGCAGGAAGACAGGTTTTGGAGGCAGGGCATGGACAGAAATGACTTTCCCCTGGCTTGTTCACCATTGTGGCTTCTGTTCCCATGAACTTTTCCCAGACACTCCGAAGCAAAGGATATAACAAACAATTCCTCCCAACAGAAAATGAAAACCCATAACAAAATAATTCCCCCCTCATTCCCATCCCCACCCCACTCCCTCCAGCTCAACACCCTGAATACTCACAGGAGACCACTTTATCTATACAAAATTAATTAGAAAACAAAATATTTACATATGAAATAAACACCATCTTGATTTCTGTGGCCCGTGGAGACCATCAGAGCCCCCTGTTTTCTAGATTGCTGTTCGCTAGGTTAGTTGGTTTGCTTTTTTTTTTTTCTTTTTTCAGTTTTAAAGGGGTGAGGTAAGAGGAAGAGTGAGGGGTGAGCCCCTGGCCCTTGGGCAGAGCCAGAGCGAAACAATGTTTCTATGGCCCTTCTCCTTCCTCCGGGAGTTGCCTCACGCCCTCTGACCTCTCTCAGAGTCTTTCCTGGAACCTAAAGTAAATCACTCCACGCTCCTCTCTCCAAACTGTTGAGAGGTTCAGCCCCTTGCCCCCACGTTCATCTTAGAAAGAAAACAAGGCCTTCGGTTGGCTTTTAAATGAAAGATACTGAGGTAAAAATCAAGGAGGAAGGTGGGAGACAGCAGTCGAGGATGGAAGATGAGGGAGGGTCGTGAGGCAGGGCAACCAGGAAGGCAAAGAGCAGCCCTGGAGGGTGTGACGTGAAGAGACATGGCGGCTTCGTTCCAGAGGAAGGTGAGCACCTTTCTGGTTTATGTGTCCTGTGTGCGACAAGGCGATTCTGCAGTCATGCTTCCAAACAAACCCAGGCTCTTTGGATGCCACCCTGTGTGAGGGGACAGCAGGACAGTGGAACTGACCCATAGAACACCCCTACCCCAAGTTTCAGGACAGGCAGGGACACAAATATTCATTTCCCTTCTTCAATTTCCAACTTCAAGCGAGGGGGCATCACTCCTGCCAGCATCCCCATTCCCGGACCTGGAGTTTTACACACACACACACACACACGCACACACACACACACACACAACACGCACGTGCACACACTTATGCATGCATGCACGCACACACGCATACTGTTGAGTGTTACAATCAGAGGGAACTGGGGGTTGTGGAAGAGGAAGGGTTCTTTCAGGAGTATTCATGTTAGTTCAAGTCATATTCCAAATCTCTTTCGCTCTCTCTGGCTTCCAGAGCTATGCCCTGGAGGACAAGCTCGTTTCTCTCCTCTGTCTGTCCCCTGTCACTCATCGCCTGCTTTGGAGAGATTTGCCTACCCATTCAGCTCTAGGTTAAGTAAGAAGGGATCAAAGCATTGAAAACATCCCCCTCTCTCACTTACCCTACTGTAAATGATTCTCTTCTTCAAAACCTTCTGTGGAGAGTCCTTCCTCAAACATTAGCCAGTCAAAGAGCTAAATGCCTAAAAGAGTTTTCTAGAACCTTTTGCTCTGAGATTGGATAAAAGATTCATGGCTGCTTCTGTTTCCCTTATGCCTTACTGGCAAATTCTCTGCCTAAGCTATAGTTACTACAGACAACACTGACATACTAGTCTGTAGGGTTGTCTCGGTCCCTTTCCCTTTCTCTTGTCACTTTTTTCCTACAGTAGAGAATCTTCTTTGTCAAGAACCTCCATTCTCTCTGAAGAAGGGAAAAGGGAGAGCTAGCCCAAATCCTGGTAACCTATGGCATTGGTTTATATATAAGCCAAAACAAGCACATTCCTTAAGCCTGTGGAAGAAGGCAAGTGAGCCAAGGTTCCCCCCTCTTTACCTAGAGGCAGCTGACCACATGCGGGTACAGGTGTACATGGACACAGAATTCTCTACTCTTGCCTCCAGTGAACCATAGGGCACTATTACAGTGAACATCCCAATTTGCTCAGGAATCCCTCATCTGCCAATGGCCTTCCCCCTTGGTTCGCCACAGCAGTTTTATGGGGCTGAGGCAAACTTTTTATTTGGCTTATATATAAGCTCAGAATCACTTCCTGCCCTCTGCTGCTTACAGGGTCCCTAGGCAACCACCAATCACACAGCAAGAATTCGGCAAAAAGCCCCTTCTCTCTTATGAGCGGGAGGCCAAAGGGCCTTCCTTAGGTTGCCTTCACTTCCTCGCCCGAAAAAAAAGCAGTTTCAGGAAAGCCTCCCTCTCAGGCTTCAGAGCACTTCCGCACTAGGAAGAAGCCCACAGGCAGCAAGCACTTCCTGTCTTCTCTCCTTTCCATCCTCCCACGCTGAGGCCAGTTCTATCCTCTCATGGCTATAGGAGTGGTGGACAGATGCGGGGAGAAGAGACCTGCGGAAGGAGGAGAAATGGGGCCGGCCACGAGGGCTGTCTTCAGTAGGAACCAGAACTCCAGGATCCCATAGAGAAATTAAAAGAACAAGAAAAAGCGAATGGGAGCCAAGTTCACCCCCGACTCTTTCCAGGACATGCGCACCACGCGGCCCACAGCCCTACCCCTCCCGTACCCACCTTAACCTCTCTCTCTTCCCTCACTCAGACATCAGACTCAATACTAGAAAGTTTCTCATAAACATGTCCATTGCTGGAGCCATTGAAAGCCCTGGGGTTTTTGTTGTTAGGCACACAGGGGTTGGACTGGTTCCCTATACAAATGTCCTTCTGGAAACGACCAGGCACAGCCCCATGAAGGGCCGACACCACTGGCTTATTGGTGACAAGGGCCCGGAAGTCCGGCCTTGTTTTCGATGCCCCTGCCACCGTGGGCTGCCTGAAGAAGTAGGATTTGCTGCCGTGAAGCAAGCACTGGTCATCCCCAAAAGTGGGGATGAAAGGGTTTTGCGTGACCCGGTCAGGGTAGAGCGACTTGCTGAGCATGTAGCCGCTGCCAGGGTTGTTGTGGTGGTGTCCGGCAGTGGGCACTGAGGACTTGTTGTTGGCAAAGGAACTCTCACCAGCTGGCATCTCAAACATGTGGGCGTAAGGGCTGCCATCCATGAATCGGCCCTTGTCTTTCAGGCTCACGCTGCGTGGGGCCAAGGCGGCCTCCTCCTTCTGCAGGTCCACGAAGGTGTCATAGGAGTGCTGCCGGCGTAGCTTGTTGCGGTTCTTCTTCTGGGCCTTGGAATTAGTCGGGCTTTGAGGGTACTTGGTGGAAGAGGCATTGGATGTCACAGCCACAGGAGCAGCCGGCTGGTCCAGTTCCTGCAAGGAGTTGTCCTCGCTGATGTCATACAGGTTCCCAGCCTTCTTGCAGGCCTCACACCTGATGCAGGCCTGCCGGCCCGAGTTCTGTCCTGCCACCGTAGAGGAATAGTTGTGCAGCTTGGAGGGACAGCTGCGGCAGAAGTTGCCCCCAGACCGCTCCTCCCAATCTACATTGGTCAGATTCTTCTCCCAAGGAGCCGGTACCCCACCTACCACGCCATGTTTATCGCCTGTTCCATGTTTGAGGTGAGACCTGTTGGTACAGGGCCCACCTCCACTGACGGAATCTCGCTTGAAGTCGTCACTACGTTCTTTGTAAATGTCGGTCAAGTCCACATGCTCCCAGTGAGGCGAGTTCTCCTTTGTTCGGAACTGGTCCAGGTAGAAGTCTCGGAGCCCTTCTTTGTCCCTGAAGTAGCGCTTGTGGTCTGGGGAGCGGGGTGGGCGGCGACGATAGGCCAGCTCGATTTCATCAAACTCCCTCCTCGACTTGGCAGAGGCCGGCCGCTTCTTCAGACTGTCCTTGTACTGCTGCTTCCGCCTCTTAGCTGCGTTGCCCTCGATGTTCCCATAGGTGACAGTGTGGGTGGAGATGTCTGAGACATCCGATCGAATCAAGTCATCATGGCCACTGTAGCGGTCGCTCTTGAAGGAGAACTTGCCATACAGGTCGCTGAGCTGGCTGTGTTTGGAGGAGGGCAGGCCGATGTCCAGGGGTTTCTTGCTGATTGACCTGGGTTGGGTGGTGAAAGGTGGGTTGTCACAGTCGTAGAGCCCGTCAATGGAGCTGGTGCTGCCGATGCTGTGTGGCCGGTGGTGATGGTGATAGTGGTCCTGGTACACGTTGCTGTCCTTCAGCTGCAGGTTGCCAAATGTCCTCTCTACCTCACTGATGTAGTCGCTGAACAGGTTTTCCTCACAGGGCGGGTTGTTGTAAGACTTACAATCCGAATGGGTGAAGCTGCGGCGGTGCTCAGAGATGTCGTAGACGGAGGACTCGCGGCGGATGAAGTCCAGGGCACTCTGAGGGGAGCCGTTTACTCCAGACAGGTTGGCCATGTTCTTGGCTGTGCGGAGCAAGCGCAGGATGTTGGAGTGTGTGTTGTTCATGGTAGCGGTGGGGGAGTTCATCACAGACTGGCGCTCCTCTATAGCTACTCCATGGATGCAGCTGTAGATACCCTGAGGGGACATAGGATGGTGGCATTGAGTTCAGGGAGACGGAAACACAACACAGACAGCAGCGCGCTACCACTAAAGGTCTAACGAGGCAAGGCAAGATAGGGGAAGCACGAGGCAATCAGTGAACTATGCTCACAGGACATGTGACTCAGAGCTTGGCCAATGTAGTCCCTTGAATTTAGCAAGTTTCTATTATGAGGCGAGTAATCTGGCCATCCGAGAGGGGGATGCTCATACCAAGGGACTTGAGCAAAGGGACGACATGGCAATTGTGCTTCAACTCCAAACACGATCTATCTTGATTTTCCTCCCTACACTCAGATTTTCACAATTTATAAAAGAAGCCATGCTATAAACATGTGGCAAAAAGTATGAGCAGGGTCTCTCGCCACAGGTTCTGGGTCCCTTTTGCTCTGGTTGGCCACTCCTGGCTGATGTCGCTCACAATGGCCTCCTGTTTCTAGCTCTGACTGATTTTGAGCAGCTTTTAGAATTTTGGCCAGCAAATAACCAGGGGACAATGCTGTTCTGTAGCTAAGCATGAACTGAATCACACAGAGAATTAGAAAGCCCTGGGGTCAAAGGAGGATTTTCTACTGCTGTGGCCTACACTGTGGGAGTGAAGAACTGAGACGAATAGCAAGAGCTCTCTATGAATAAATAGGTCCCTTGCTGAGGTCTCACGTCTATCCACTTTTTAGCTCCGTTTTCTTCTTATATTAAGTATTATCATAATCGATTAATGTTTTCTCAAATTAGTATTGATGAAGAATACCTGGCATAGAGTTATTTGTTCAGGACACTGAAGGACAGAATCCATGAGTAAAGATGGGTTTCTTTCCTGGCACCGGTCTCCCCAAGTCTAGAATCAGGTCACCCTACTGCTCACCTCTCATGTGCCACCACGGGAGGCAGATGGCAAGGGAAGTGACTTTGAACTGCACCTTTACATCTGAGAGCGATAATTTGGGAAGGAATCTCGTCTGGATGGGCGGGGCTGAGAGCAGGAAAGGTCAGAAGGAAGATGGTAGTTGTGTGGAGAAGAAGTGTCAGACTCTACGAGACGCTAGATCTTCCTGGGGGGAGGGCATTCTGCCCCCTTTCTGCTTCTCACTTCTGACCCCTTGACAGTGGACAGGGGGACGTGTTAGGTGTCCTCCTCTGTGAAGGCAGTGTTCATGTCAGAGGGCCACGGGTGAGATTTCTTTTTTTTTTTTTTTCTGTTGCCTCTGTGGCTTCTGGGAAGTTACTCAGAGGAACCCAAGGCCCAGGGACCTAGAGTCCCACAATTTCCTTTCTCCTGCTCTTATGTGATTGAATGACCTGTATTACCTGACAGCTGGAGAGGAAATGGAGAAATTGTCCCCTGCCACTAAAACACTACGGGAAAATGACCAGAGAATGAAACAACTTAATGAGAAATCCATTCCCTTTCACAGCTCCATTTGAGTCAAGGTTGGTTATATACGGAGCACAGTCCTCAATCCTCAAAGGTCATGCGAGTTCACCACTCGTGTGTGAGTCCTTCAGCTGCATTAGCCAAGCCAGGAGACTCCTACCCTTTAAAACAATCCCCTCTGTGATCTGAGGTTCATATTCCCAACTATTACCCCAATACCTCACTTTGAACTGGAAATGAAGATCTCAGAACCCAACTGTCTTCCCGATACCTCACTCTGAACTGGAAATAAGGATTCCTAACTTAGCCTGGAGTCTTGCCCCAGTTAGGTAAGTTTCTGGAATATAAGTTTCTTATAAGTCAAGACTTGGGTTCTGTTAGCTTCTTTTAAATGTTATTTATGTCAGTGACACGCACATTCCCATACACACCCCTGTGATCCTCTTGTTTCATTCTTCCAGCATTGGTATTATAGGCATGCGCCACCGCACCCAACCTTTAGGCTCTTCAATTTCCCATACCTCACACGTGGCTAATATCTAAGAACAGTAAGACCACCGGCAATTTGCCTTCAAGTGTTAGACTAAGATATGTTACACCTTCCTATTTAAGGATCAAGTGATTAATGCAGTCTATACAGAATCAATTGATGGTGATGTAAAAAGAAATTGGGGAAATTTCACATTTTCTGTGTTGCAAGATCTGCCTTTTTTAAACTGTGAATCGATCATCTGAGTCTCAAATGGAAGGAAACAGCACTACCCATCTTAGAAACGCTCAGATTTCTCTCACACAGATTCCTGGGGACGAGCATATGATGTGGCTTCATGCTTTAGCCACATAAGTCTGCAATGAGCACTCTCTTGGGTCTCTCTGCTTGGCACAGAACAAGGCTTAACCGTCCTCAACAAGCTCTATGTTTCCACATCAAAACACTTACTCTGCTGATGGAGAAGACCATGCCAGGCTTGCCAGAACAGACACCCATGAAACAATGCCGGAACTGCCAATAGAACAGATGTTCACAGATGAAGGTGATGAGGCTGAGAGCCATGGCAGCCCCCAACATATAGAAGACGCCTGCCATGTTGTCGATGTCCAGCTGGCTGCTCATAACCTCGTTCTTCTCATTGTGGCAAATGCCAGTGAGCCAGAGAGCTTCCAGTTCTTCCATCTCCCCTGGAAAGAGGGCACAGAAGGAAACAGATAAAGCGGGGGGAGGAAAGAAAAGGGGAGACAAAGCAGGAAGAGAGTTGAAGAGGTCAAAACATGACAGAAAGAGATGCAAACAAGAGAGAAAATGAATACATTTTATTAATATCGTTACATCTCAACTCATCAGTATACCCCTTGTATTCAGTGAAATCATAACGAATGAACTATAGACGACACAAGGCCATGGAACGTCCCTGTGGCTGTCCTTTATCCCGTGAAAACTGGCAGCTCAGTGTTCGGTGTTACCCACAATATGATATGCAAAGAACAAGGGTTCAAATTAGAATCAACAGTTTGTGGGCAAAGTGGTCAATATGGAGAGAGAGAAAAGAGAGAGAGAGAGAGAGAGAGAGAGAGAGAGAGAGAGAGAGAGAGAGAGGAGAGAGAACTTGAGAGTGGGAATGGATTTTAATGTATGTTGTACATAAAAGCATTCCAGATTGCAGGACTAGCATAATCAAAGGGGAAGAGGTGGGAAACAGGGGCTTAGGGAGAGGCAAAAATAACAAACAAACAAATAAATAAACAATTCAAACAGAATGATGCTCAGCAAGAAAGCTTAATAAAAATCTAATGCATGCATTCTGAGGTTAAATACTCAGTCCTTTATTTTATAAACAGTGGGCAAAAGATGGGATTTATGCAGAGCAGATTAGATTGGGGAAGGAGAGGTTGAAAGAGATTGGAGAGAGATTGGATTGCTATGGTCTCTCAGAATTACAGATCTCTTGCAGGAGCCGGCTCCTACAAAGTCAGCTAGGGTTCCTGGATTGGGGGTCGTCAAGACTGAGGAAATGTCAGATGAAAGGAACAGAGACAGAAAATACAGGATAGAATCAGGAGGTCTGTTTGATCGTGCTGAAACAGCCAGATAGCCCAGAGTTTATTTCAGAACTTGCATATATACAAAAGCAGAAAAAAGCACAGCATAGATGGTCAGTCAGTGTCTAACAAGATCATTTCTGTCCTTGAGTGAGCAACCTCCTAACTAACTGGCATTTGCTGCTTGGGAGTAGCCTTACTTTCTATCTTGATGTTCCCGAGGTTCGTCGTCAGCAGTAGACTGTCTACTAGATAGAGTGTTCTTTTCTCACAGGCTAAATCAGAATTCTCTCACAGCTCTCAAGGTTACTGGATAACGCAGAGCAGACAAGCTTGAACTCAAATGACATATAAGTCAGAATGGACTCCAGATGAAAACTGAGTCACATGGGCTCCCACAATCTCTTATAGAGAAAAATATGAAAAGCAAAAGAAGAGTAATGTAGACGTTAGTCAGTAGAAACTATTAGACAAAAAAAGAAGATGAAATAAGCATATACCCTAGAATGTCACTAATTTCACACAAATGAAATTCTAGAAATCTCATGAAGAATACTGGTCAAAAGATTCTGGTTTGGATGAAAGTCTGAACTTTGCATGGCCCAGTGAAAGCCGAAGTCCTCTCTATTGGTGCACTTGGTTATAGACTAAGGAGCTATTTGGCTATGACTAGTGGTTACACCAACATGGTTTGCCAACTCCCCAGTTACAAACCCCTGCTCTTCCTGATGGGTATCCACTCACTTTTATTCTCTTCTTTGATTTAACAATGCTTTTCCTAACTACTGCAGCAGCCAGATCCAGCTGTAATCTGGAAACCCACTTCTGGGTTTGCCTCTGATGTCTTCCATGACAAACAAAGGTCCTACAGCCATAACTGATAAACCCACATGGCTGATGAGCTGGAGAACCATGCAGAGGGAGACTCATCTGCATCTGGATTAGTGTGTGTGTGTGAGGACTGATGGGAAGAGTTGATGCTTTGCATAAGGAAGGGAAGAGAAATTCAAAAGATAGTAGCTTAATGAAGCAAACTTTCTCGGTGTTTAGTCCACCCCTGGAAAGACTCAGTAAAGTACCGTCTGGTAACTACATCTCCCTCCACCTTTTTAGCCATGACCATCAAGGCAGGGTAGAGTGGAGGATGAGGAAAAAGCCACATACTCATTTCTCTGGGAACATATAGAATACCACCCTACGGTTTTGGGCTACAGTTTTGTTAAGAGTAGAAACATGGAGTTCTATCTGAGGCATCTAACTGTAGCCTACTGCATCCCTGAAGGCTTCCATATACCACACAATCTTCAAATGTACCCTGTCACCAGCTACTTTAATCCCTTTCTTCATCTTTTACCTAGTGAAAATATGTTCCCTTGTGATTTATATATTGAACTTACAAGTTACCAGTTGCTATATATATACATATATATAATATATATGTATATATCTTGGTATGGGAAAATAGTCTGTCAATTATATTTTAAATAAACGCTGATTGGCCAGTAGCCAGGCAGGAAGTACAGGCAGGACAACCAGACAGAAAGTAGAAGCAGGTCAACAAGAACAAGAGAATTCTGGGAAGAGGAAAGCTTGGTCTGCAGTCCTGACCTAGTCACAGAAGAAGCAAGATGTAACTGCCATGCTGAATAAGGTACCGAGCCACGTGGCTAACATAGACAAGAATAATAGGCTAATATAAGTTATACGAGTTAATAAGAAGTCTGAGCTACTAACCCAATCAGTTTATAACTAATGTAGACTTCTGTGTGATTCTTTGGGACTCAACGACTGTGGGAACTGGGCAGGACAGAAAACCTCAGTCAACAATAACTACTGGTAGCTATGGATGTAGATGTATTTGGAAATAGGGTCATTGCAGATGTAATTTATCATAGTGAGGTCACACTGGAACACAGTGGGCCCCTAATCTCATATGATTGGCATTAAGAAAAGAACAAATTCAGAGAGAGATGAACATCAAACAGAAACACATACCCAGGAAGAATGAAAGTAGAGACCTAAGTGGTGCCTTCACAGGTCAAGGAAGACCAGGCAGAACCACAAGCCATCAAAAATCATGTGACAAGTATGGTGGTATTTTGTTTGTGCTGTGACAAATAAAGCTTGCCTGAAGATCAGAATGCAGAGATAGCCATACTAACTAGCCATAGAGGATAGGCAGTGGTGGTACACACCTTTAATCCCAGCACTGAGGAGGCAGACACAGTTGGATCTCTGTGAGTTTAAGGCCACCCTGGGCTACACTAGATTGAGCCACTCTCAGAGAGAAACAGAGTTAGGCAGTGGTGGCTCACCCCTTTAATCCCAGCACTCGGGATGTGGAGACAGTAAGAGACATGACTGGGCAGAGGGAGGACTATAAGGCGGGAGGAGACAGGAGCTCAGCACATTTAGTCTGTGGGTTCGTGGAGACAGGATCTTGCCCTCTTCAGTCTGAGGACTCAGTAGAGGTAAAAAATCTCTCTAGGGGCTGGCTCCTTTACTTCTCTGGTCTTTCAGCATTTGTCCTGATATCTGACTCAGTTTTTATTTTTGAGGGCAGTTAGGATTCATGCTACATAGAAGCATGAGGATTCTCCTTCACCACTTTCAAGTGAAGCTGGCTTTAGTGCCCAGAACTTCTACACGATGAACCCTACTGTTTATGCCACTCCATCCATGCCATTGGTTATGGCGGCCCTAGCAGTCTAAAAGGGGCTCTTCAGTCTTATCGCACCCCGTGACAAGCTGTTTTGGATACCCAGAGAAGAAAGGTTGCTATTTCAGAATGGCTACGGGTTGAGGCCAAGTGAACATTTCCCCTCTCTTTAACTCACCGTCTCCAAACAGCTGCAGAATAGCAAGGTCCACCTGGCGCTTCCACCCGGAATCTTTCTGGATAGCAATGCCATAGCCAGTGGACGCAAAGACCTTGCCGCTGCCAATGGTCACCAGCTTGCAGCCTTCATCTCTTCCGGCCATGTAGTTGAGCACTGCTGCATCGTAGATGAAAGCATCAAGCTTCCTGCACAGGAAAGAAAGGAACCAACAAATACCAAGGATGAAATTACACAACAGAACTACCTATTGGGCCATTTGTATGAGTGGTGCAGTTCCAGAAGCTACATGGAGGCCTGGCTCCCAGTTAGGCTCATGTTGGCCTACTGTCAGAGCCTAAAGCCTGTGTCCCAGGCTGTTGCTCTTGATGGGACTTCAGGTTCAAAAGAGTCGTTTATTTTTTCCCCTCCCACTAGGAATGATAAGAATGTAAGTTGGGCCCGAGGCCAACTCATAAACTGTGTCTGAAAAGGAGATGGAGTAAAAAGCAATCAATAAAAAATAATAACAGAAATAATGAAAAGTAAGCACCACAATGATAACAAATAGCATGGGTGAGATTTATATAACGTTTTTCATTTCTCAGTTCATTACAGTCCAGAGTGGGGGAAGGTGTAGGTGGACATGCTTCAGGAGATGCACAGCTATTTTGGTGGTCAGAAAGGTTTCATTATTGTCTTGTCTTATAAGACTTTGCTTCGAGGGGCCCTAGTGGTGAATGACAGCCCAAGCTTGTGGGGAAGCAAATGGGAAACACAGCAGGAGAAGATGGCATACAGAAGCAGTAAGATCATTCAAATTCCTAAACCTATAGGCACATGGTGTGAGACATGGAGCTTTGCGAAGAACGGTCAAGTAGAGAAAAGATACTGGCCAAGAGCAGGAATGCATGCAGATTGTTTCAAACCAACATGTCCATACATTAAAGGGAGAGGAAGCAGCTCGGATGAAGCCATGCAAGTGACAGGCCCGAAACAAAGCAGAACATGCAGCCCCCAGCCCTGCTAGCCCCAGCCAAACATTTATAAGTTGAAGATCTTTGTGCTTCTTTAAGAAAAAAAGGCAAGTCCTTTCTGACATGACAAGTCACAGGACATTTTATATTATTACTTTTTATTTATTAAAAAATATAGATTGGTGGCATGCCAAAATCTGGTGTAACTGGGAGCTATGGGTGTCCCATGGTTTGAACTACCCAGAGTTCCCCTACCCTGGCTTCAGACCTCATCTTCTGAATCTGTTGTGACTTTGTTTAGAGCAGCAAGATTGCATCTCACAGTATTTTAAGCATCCACACATCTAGGTGGTGCTTGGAGACCTTGTGATGCAAGGGTGATCAAACAAGGTCCACAGGCTGATGGCCAACATAGAACGAAGGGAAACAGCGGTGTGACCCATTAGCCTGCAAATCTCAACATTCCCAATGCCCAGTGTTGATGGCTTTCAAACAAAAGGACAAGTGTGCCCGGTGAGCTCCATGACAGTCCATCTACAGTTTGTGAGCAGCGGAGGCACAGAGACGGGCAATGAGGAAGGATAACCAAAGCTGGGGTTGGAGCTCAGTCAACACACTCTTAGCTGTTGTCATCTAAAAACTTTTGCAGGCTTCTTCTTTTATTTCTCCCTTGTCCATGGATCCCAGAACAGGCTTTTCCATCCCGTGTGTAACATACATGAGCTCGCTCCTTGATTCCTCCTTCTACACGCCCATGGGTTTCATTTCTACTCCGTGGCCACATTCATGCAAGCAGAAAACAATTTGCAGGATGCTAACACAGAAGCAAGTAACAGAATGAGCACTTTGGTACAATGGTTGGGATGACACTGTCAAATTTAACTTGGCAGCAGTGTTTGATTTAATGATTATGGTACCAGTTCAATCTGTGTCTAATGGATGGGAGAAACATATCACTCTGAGCTCGGAGGCCATTCTTACCCCGTTTTCAGGGAGAGCAATGCATCATCTACACCCCTTTGGTTGAACTTTCCCATGTAGGCATGCATTTCTGCATAGTTATTGCGGATATTCCTCTCTGTGCTGCCATTGGGCACAGTCCCAAAGCGGAAAGGGGGTGAAAAGTCATTAGGTCTCTGGAACTGGAGAGAGAAAGACAGAGAGACAGAGACAGACAGACAGACAGAGACAGGGAAAGGAAGAAATGCTTTAGAAAAATGTGAAGAGACATTAAGTCAGCATTAGTGAGTTTATAATGGGAAGGAACCAGCTCTAATTCACCAAACACATCAGTCCTCATACAGGAGCAGTAATTGCCTTCTGGAAGTGGACTTCAATTCAACTCAATTTAAGATGTATTGTTAAGAGATTTCTATTCGTCCAACCCCGAGTTTAATCTATAACCCTGTGTGTTCCTTCTTTGCGCACAACACAATACCAGCGGTGATGGGCCTGAAAGTGGTGTGATCCAGTTTGACCATGGTAGATTAGCCAGCTTTATTTCCAAAAATTGTCTAAAATCTCCTCCTAGGCCTCTTAATACACTGTCATTGTACAATTAAGGTCACACGGCATTATATTCATGAAGATAGTGTTTGAATATCAAGTACATTTTGCTAAGAGATTTTGCTCTTGACCTTCAAAGCACTCAAAATTCCACTGATCTGATACCGGCTACTGGATAACTTGCAAACCCCATGTCATTTTAACCATGTTCCCCTCGTACCTAAATTCCGAGCGTGTATCTCCAGCACCTAGCACCAGAACTGAAATTTCTTGGATTCTATCCCTATGGCATCAGTTTTATTACCCTGCAGTGAGTTAGGTCTTAATGTTGCTTCCAGAGCACATAATTTGGCCATTTGTATTTTCACAGCTTCACCGAATCCATCTCGTTCACAGAAACTCACCTTTCTCTTTGGGGCAATTCATGCCCTTCATTTCAAAATATAGCTCACAGCAACTGCTTTGGGAAACCTCCTGTGAATTCCCCCTTCTATCAAATTGACCCCAAAGTGATCCGTCAGTACTTTTATTCTGGTTTTGAGTTTGAGGGCTATGGCTCATCCCATAAATTCGACGCCTCCCGAAATACACTGGCTGAGTACTGAGAACTAGTCTTTGATGTGCTCATTAATAGTTTAAGCTTGAGGTTGAAACAGCCATGAAGACCAGCTTTGCCACTTACTATTTCATGACTCTGGTCATTAACAGAAAATGTACCACATGTCTTCCTCCAAAAGAAAGAGCGGGCGGTGCCCAGCTTTTAAGACTGTGACGGACTTCACACAATGTGAGAGACATGCTTGGCAGTACCCGCTACACAATAGGGTGGCGTGACACAAACAAGGTCACCTGGTTAGAGCACAACAGATTGCCCTGTAGGCAGGTCTGTAAGGTATTTTCTTGGTTAGTAATTAATGCGGGAGGGCCTAGTTCGCTGTGGGCGGTGCCACCCTTGCACAGGGGGTCCTGGGTTTTTATAAAGAAAACAAACAAACATGGAAAAGCAATGGAGAAGAAGCCAGTAAATAGCACTCCTCCCTGGTTTGTCCTCCAGTTCCTGCCTCCAGGAGTTTCTGCCTTGGTTTCCCTCATTGATGGACCATGATTGGGACATATAAGCCGAAGAATTCCCTACTTGCCCACATGGTCCTTGGTCAGGGTCTTTACCATAGCAATGGAAAGCAAGCTAAGACCATAGGTGCTCAGTAATGCTCCTATGTTGTTTTAAACTCGTGTACATTTTAATTTTGTTTGCTGATAAGCAGCATGTTGTTTAATATTCTTGCCCTGTGAGTATAGCTAAGATGACACAGAATAAGGGCATAAAACTGTGCCTTGGATTACTCAGGACAGTGAAGAAGTTTAAGTCCCTCTTGGTTTCAATACTGTACCATTATCGTGGAGCTGTGTTTGAAAACCTAGCCCATCAACCTGGGGGGACCACTGAGCGTTTAAAACACCCCAGGCTCAGTGGTCATTCTTGTAATGTGAGGGCTTCAAGGGCTATAGATTAGCATTGCTCAAGGTGCCATCGCAGCAATGGAGTTGTGTTGGTCACAGGTGAGAGTAGAGTCAAAGAGTCACACTGTGGTCGTGGGGTGTGTAGGGACCTCAAAAGACCAGACTTCCCAACTAGAAAAGTTGCCTTTTGTGATCAGCATGATTTATATCATTAATATCCTCTGTTTGTTGTTTTTTTTTAAAAGGTTACAATTTTTAAGCAAATAAAGATAGAAGAAGAATCAGAGGACTTTAGAGTTGAGTTGTCCACTCAAAGCTTAAACCTCTGATTGGACAAATGATGAAACAGGGCCCAGGGAGGGTAATTTTCTCAATAGCACCCAGTGGCAGTGGTGGCCACTATCATCAGTGTTTCCCTGGCCTAATTAAGAGTGACTCCTCACTGTGCCCGGCAGACAGTGAACTTACAGTAAACAAGGTTATGCTTTAATAAAAGAGACCAGAACACTTCACACATTACTGTCAAATAGAACTCCCCATAAGTCTGAAGAAAGCCCTTCCCCAAACTCAAAGCTAGCATGGGAGGTAGCAGCCAGTGTAGTCAAATAAACTCCCTCATCTGTAAATCTGCATTTGGCTGGGACAATGACAATAGATACAAACGTTGACTAAGACATTGTTCCATATCAGTTTCTGAAGTACTGTTGATATTGGAACTACATCCAATTCAGATCTAAGATAAATTATTATCATCTAAGTATTTTTTTAAAACAAGGTATGCAAGGTACATGGGATAATTTTTGATTAACTAACTGGAATTCTGTGCCCAATGTTCCTACTTCCTGATGGAGTCACAAGCCAAGATGTTTCTAACTTTGTACCATGCTCTTTATATTTGAAATGATCTTTTAAGTTCTCTATGCTGTTTTACACTCACATCCATCGCTAAATCAAACATAAAAAAATATAGACCAAGAATAGCAGACGCCATTTTCAAGGAGAAGGGCATCATTGGAGGATGTGAAGACATGCTGAAGAGCTCCAGGCCGTTACACCACTGGTGCGAAGAAGCTGAAGGGGTAGGTGGGCAGAATGGAGTGGCTGTCACAGACATGCGCAAACATAGGCGAAGGCATTCAATGGAGATAAGCTAGCCTTCAACAAATGCTCTGAAGATAATTAGACGTTCCTGTACAGAACAAACGTTATCCCTCACCTCCCAAGATCAATAGCAATTACCTCGGAGTTGTAAAAATTTCAGGAGGAACTATATGAGACCATTCTTGTAGCCTAGAATTAGACGAAGCCTATACGTTATGTGGACAACCCACCAGCAGAGGGAATAAAGATAAATTAAAGTTCCTCAAGATTCAGAACTTCTCCTTAAAAGATGCAGTTATGACCATGAAAAGGCAAGCCACCAACTGGGATGAAGTATCTGAAAATGAATTAAAGCTATTAAAAAAACAAATTAGGTAATAATGGAACAAGACTTGGACCATTTAAGGCATCTTCGTGAGCACATAACCCAACAAACAACCAAGACTGCAATGGGAAGGATGGAGGGGACCATCCTCAGAACAGACTTTAGCTTGAGGCAGTTGGGATTGAATTAAGCCCTGGTTCATGCCTGTTACAGGAACATGAACATGGGCAAGTTCTTCAGTCTTGCTACATTCCATTTTTTTCTGAAAATGTTATTTTATTAGATAATAAATAGGAAAGTACTTAATACTGCACGAAACTCGAAACTGTTAGCTGCTTCTGGGGCAGCAAAGTTCCAGTACCTAAAACTGTCCTGTTTGAGGCAGTGTTCCCTCAGACTCAAGTCTTATTCTCTAATCTGCCCCTAAAACTAGGCCAGTCCAGGGGCCAACAGGGAGGACATGGGCTCAGAATTAGCCAAAGCAGATGTACACATAAGCTTGCCTTCTCCTTTGAAAGTTCTTGTTTAGCTTTATAGTAGGCTTAAATCAAACACCTCTTTATGACTGTCATTGGGCCCTGAACTTAACTAAAATTCACATTCGCAGGGAACAATATGCTTAAGGAGACCCATGGAGACGACGCAAAGGAAAACTCCCAAATGCCTCGACACTTCGACGAATGCCCTTGTGATAAAACACACCTCAAGATGCAAGGCCTTCTTGTTTAGCCTCCAAGAGAGTTGATGGTCTGTGGGGTATGGCGGAAGAATAAAAAGTGTACCATGAGGGGGAGGGAAATGGGAGGCTGGGAGGAGGCGGAAACTTTTTTTTTCCTATTCTCAAATCAATGGCAAGGGGTTTTGATCCTACTTCATGATCTGGCTTGGTGGGAGCCTAGCCAGTTCACCTTCCTAGACATGGACGGAGGGGGGAGGACCTTGGACTTTCCACAGGGCAGGGAACCATGAATGCTCTTTGGATTAGAGAGGGAGGGGGAGAGGAGTGGGGGAGGGGGAGAAGAGTGGTCAGAGGGGGAGGGAAATGGGAGGCTGGGAGGAGGCGGAAACTTTTTTTTTTCCTATTCTCAATAAAAAAAAAAGAAAAAAAAAGTGTACCATGAAGAATCTAAATTAGAACTGGTAGGACCTTGACAAATAACCTAAAAAATTATGACTCCAATAACAATTTAATTTAAAAACTGTCTGATTTTAAACTAGTGAATTAAAACAAACCAGCATTCCTTACAATCACCATTGGTCACCGTAACACTTCCTTCAGGTCAGTCTCTCTAGGCTCCACCCAGACTGGGGTTGGGAAACACGGATCCAGCTAGTGAGATAGTAATAAAGCAGAGGAGGCTCCTCAGGGATTGGGCCCATTTCACAGAGGAAGACACCAAAGTCCCGAAGAGTCAAGAATATAGCTCAAAGCTGTGTGAAAGAGGAGGACAGGCTGAGATTTTCCATGGCCAGCCGGGGTGCAGCCAAGAGGTATTTTGCCTTGGCGTCCTGGGAAGGGAGCTCATATGCTCTTAGGTGGGGTCACCTGGGAGGCTAGCCTTCCTTTCCTGGTGTCAGGGTTGCTTGTTCCCACCCTCTCTGCTGGATCCAAGGCTTGCTCCTGGCAATCACTGTAGGCTCAGAGCACATGTGGTAACACCAAAGCAGAATGTTAAGAGATATAATCTCACTTGTTCTTCCTGGAAAGCGTGCATCAGATTCGGCACCCTGAAGCCTTTCACATCCACATCTCAGCCTCCATCTTAATGACCTTAAAGTGAATTTGCCTTGGTTGTCAGTCACACAGGGACTGAGGGTGAGAAGGTCCTCAGTATTTCCCCAAATGGGTCCCTGGGGCTGTTTGGCTGCCACAACCTCAGGAAAGATTCTGTTACAGAGCTTGAGGCAATGAACAAAAAAAAAAAAAAAAAGGAACAAGGGAAGGGGTACTGTCTAGTCCAGTTTGTTTTCTTACAGTCAAATAAATATGCACGTTGATTTTCCTAAGTGCGGGGCTTTCTCTTTTTATCCTTTAATAATATCCACACTCATTTAACACCTATGTATATACTGGAAATTACCACCTCAACTTCTATTATGAGAATTAGAATACATCAGTTCATTTGGCAAATATTTACCAAGCACCTATTAGTGGAGAGGACTGTATTAAGTTCTACAGAAAAGACAAAGGAAACAGGCCCTATTTCCAGGAGCCGACCTCCCAGGAGAGTCAGAAATGTAAGTGTTCATCCAAGTGTTTATTTGTTCTGCCATTGGCTTCTCCTGGCATGCAGTCTTTCATTTATATTGTAATCAGGAAGTGTTCATTCTGCATAGCCAGGGTTCTAGGCGAAGAGGAGGCGGCACTGCCAAATGAGATCAAGAAGCTCACGTCAAAGAGAAGTGGCGGGTAATATTTATACAAGCATACATAGGTACAGACATGCACGTATGTATGTAGAAAGACTCACACATACATGCATGTATGTGTTTTAAATATGTGGTAGGCTAAAGTTAGCCACATAGATTTTGCCAGTCACATCATATCCCTGTGTTCCCTCTTCCTGATTCAAGGCTGTAGTGGTTGAAGGGAAGTGACCCCCAAAGGGATTGGCCAGCATATCAGAGATCCCAATAAAGCCATTTTGGACCCTCAAGCCCAGCCATTTTCAACTTAGCCTCCAGGTGAAGATCAAGGTGACTTTACCTTCGCCACATAAAGTAGAAGACACACACAGCCAAGTTTTACCCAGATATCTGATCCCCAAGACACTGTAATACAATAAAGCATTTCCTGCTTTGAGCTTTTCAGCACCGGGGTAGCTTCCCAGCAAGGAGTTCCTGGTTTCAGACAGTGAAAATAAAGCGTTCCACGACAAGAGAAACCCGGTAATGATACAGAATGACTTTGATTGCCTGTCATCAAAAGGCCTCTCTGAGAAAGCAGCATTTGAGCTGAGACCTGAATAAGAAGAACGGGATATCCAAAGAACATGTGGGGCATACAAGAGGCCCAGGAACTGGCCAATTAAAAGGCCCAGACTGGTGACTCAGGGCAATGCACGAAGTGACGGGAGCCCCGGGGAAGCTGGGCCTTGTGGGAGCACATCGCAAATGGCAAGTCAGGGGGTGACACAGAAGAGCTGTCCACTTGGACAGAAGAAGGAAAGCAGTGTCTAGACAGAATGAGCTGCCCAAAGACACAGTATAGACATACTAGCCACACCCGCTCGGTGCCTATAGAGCGAGAAAACCCAGGCACTATAGCTGACCAGCAGTACCCTCTCCTTTGCTCGAGCCTTATAGATAAGGCTGAAGGCCGATACGAGGAAGGGGGATGCATGGCCTGACGGCTCCCAAAGGGAACTGACATCTATACAATAGAGTGTAGAGGTCTCACTCTAAGGCCATGGCTCTCAACCTATGGGTAGTGACCCCTTGGGGGTTAAACAACCCTTTCACAGGTTTGTCTAATACAACCAGAAAGCACAGATTTATACATTACAGTTCATAACAGTACCAAAATTACAGTTCTGAAATAGCAATAAAAATAATTTTATGGTTGGGGTCACCACAACATGAGGAACTGTATTAAAGGATTGCAGCTTTAGGAAGGTTGAGAACTGCTGTATTCAGGTATGATAAACAGGGGAGCCTCTGCCTGAGGACATGCCTAGCTCTGAGACAAGATGGCTGTGAGATCTTGCATCACCCACTTAACTTCTCTGTTCCCAGGTTCCCGGACTTGTGGAGTGTACCCTGTGCACCAAGTGTGAGTATTCAGCTAGTTCTCCCGAGTGGGTCTGGCACGCGATAAGCATGCGGATGTGCCCTTACTGTTAACATGGCTACTGCTGTCATTATCTTCACGACCATTGTCGTGGCAGCCTGGGAGGACTCTGTCAGAAAGACAAAACCAGGCTTGGTGTGAGAAAGAGTCCTCTAGAGCCAGCACATTCCACCAGGCTGGGAGGACCGAACTGAGAGGCAGGAGCTGGAAAAGATCTGAGCTCTGAGCTTTGATGGGAACTGTGGCAGGGCAGGTGTGTGTGTGTGTGTGTGTGTGTGTGTGTGTGTGTGTGTGTGTGTGTGTAAACAATGTGAGGCTTTAGGCATGTTTTGCTGTGGCTTGAATGAGAACCCCATAGGTTCCTGCATTTAAATACTTAATCCTGTTATTTCAGGGAGGTTTAGGAGCCTGGCCTGCCTGAAGCATGCCATGGAGGGTAGGCTTCAGAGGGAAAAAATCCACCTGCCAGTCCAATTCCTTCTTTCTCCGCCTTGGGCTTGTGGTTCAAGTGTGAGCTCTCAGCATCCTGCTCCAACTACCATGCCTGCCTGCTACTTCTGCCTTGCATTATGCACTCTAACTCTTTGGAACCATAACCAAAGTAAATCCGTCTATAAGTTGCCTTGATCAGCCGTTTATCTCAGCAACAGAAAGGGTCACAATGTTATTCTACCCTCCATGATCATGAAGCACGGTGCATGCTGCACACTGATCACAGGAGACTGCAGATCTACTGTGACCATAAAAATTCTGAATGAGAACAGCCGCCACCAGGTCAGGATTCCTGGAAGGCTTCCTGCAGGGGGCGGACTGAAGCTGCTGAAAGGGTAGTGGAGTTGGAGTGGTAGAGGGTACAGGTGCTATTTGCACACTCTCCTCTGACCTGATTAGAATCCTG